TGATGAGTAATCTTAATTCCTTCTGCAACCCTTCCTAATTCCCCCGTGCTGTGGAAAAGAACACACAACCAGGGGCCAGGGATTAGAACAGGGGCACCAGCGTCTGTGCTTCTGCCTACTACGCCGGCAGTACAAGGATATTGACAGTGACAGCAAAGAGAAGAGTTTCTCATGACCCATCAACCCTGGGTGGAAAAGATCATCCACCCAAGAAGGGCCTGTCATCCAATATTGGGTTTTTTTGTTTTGTTTTGTTTTGTTTAATGGAGAAGTCAAAGTTCTGGAGATTTTTCCTAAGGTTTAATGGCCATGTTTCTGTTAACTATTGCTGCATAACTAACCACCCCCAAAACTTGGTATCTTAGAATAACAGTGATTTATTTCTCAGGATTGTGTGGTTCGTGGGAATCTGGGCCATTCCCTTGCTCGTTAGTTACCCCCGGGCTCATTCACTAGCTACATTCAACTGGACGGTCAGCAAGAATAGAAAACCCAGAACGACCTTACGTCGTCTGACACTGCATGACAGCCGTCAGCAGGGCTGCCATGGTTGTTTCCAGTGTGAGTTCTCATCCTCTGTGAGGCTAGGCCAGCTTCCTTGCCTGGTAGCCTCAGGGCAGTGTTCCAACAGCATAAAGGTAGGGACTGCAGGACCTCTGGGGCCTGCACTCTGGAACTCACACAGCATCCCCTCCACCACATTCTTCTGGACCAAGCAGTCAACAGGTCAGTGCAAAATCAAGAGAAAGGGAACTAGATTGTGTCTCTGAGGGGAGTCGCTACAGTAGCCTTATTTCATGTGGCACAAGTGATGAAGATAGGAATTTTTGTTCTGAGAGTGGGATTCTGTAATTTTATATTCCACAGGGAAAATGTCTCTGAATGACAGCAGTAACCAACACATGGCCCAAAGGTTTGATATCTTGGAACTGAAGAAGTCGAGAAATTGTGAGGCTAGGGTGTGGGGTGCCTCATCCTGTGTTGGCAGTAAGAATACAGTTGGTAGTGAATGAGGAGGAGCAGCCGGTTGTCCAGGAGATGTCAGTAACAAGATCAGGGAAGGTATGGGGTAATCAAACTGATGGTAGGATCCTGTTGACATGATGATCATGGCCACAGGTGTCTGGGCAGCCTGACGGATGGTGACCTCCCAGAACCACCTTACCAGGCCTTTCGCTCCCCAGCCTCCTTTGACTTGTTTACGAGCCAATTTTTACATCATCTGACCATTTGACTTTCAGACAGTGTGCAGATAGATTCTTCATGCTGAATGTTAACTCGTAGCACCCACATCCTGAAATGAAGTTCAGGTTGGTTGTGTGTCAGATGACAAAGCTGCCATCGTGACAGTCTATCGGTGATGGTTCTTTGGAACTTTCTATTTTGTATCTTTCCTGTCTCCTCAGGTACGTGTCTAAAGGTAGAAGGGTATCCACACAAATCAGTAGGATTTATGGTGGTGAAATTTATTAACTGTGTTAAATGTACAATATTTATTGCTCTCATTCTAGGTAAATAAAAATCAGAAAGCAGATAGTCATTATCCAGATGGTCCTAAGAGCTCACTCAACCATAAGAGTGCTAGAGATGAATAAATTAGAGCCAAGAACAAGAGGAGAAGGATAAAATTGCATATTTTTATAATTACGACCATAATTTAAAGTTTATTTATTTACATGAAACAAATAAATGAAGATTTACAACAGTACAAAGTGTAGAATGAGTTTGCCTCCTTGGCTGTGACTTCACATCCTTTAAATGCTTTTTAGATTTCTACCCCAAGTAAAATATTTTCAGGATTTGGAAATTCAGCAGTGCTTCTTAGAAATTCTGTATCTGCATTCCACATCTAAGAACATTCAATCTTGCCCTGCCTTTCATTCCTCGCTCCACGCTACCCCCATGCAGAGGGTTCAGCACCTTTGGACTCGTTTTGGTCATGAGCAGATTGCTAGGAATGAGAAGACCCTTGGATGTTATTCTCACCTTTGACACAGAAATTCTTTAAAGGAGTACATGAAATCTGTCTAACCATAAGTAAAGTAATGAGGGTCTTTGTAAGTATAGCCTTAATATAAACTTGAAGGACTTGTGTCCCTCTCAAAGTAGTCTACTGTAAAAGCTACACAACTTTTCTGCACCATTGCTTTGGTGATTCAAATCACTTGGGGTTTCTCTTTGGGGGCTGCTGTCAGAGCTCCGTGTGCAAGTCCACAAAGAAGACCAATTCTATATTTCAGTGTCCTATCTCAATTTTTATTTAATCCAGACATTCCTTCAAATTTTATGGATTGGCCATCTTTGATGTTTATCTATCTAAAAAAAAAAAGTCGAATTCATGATCAAAAGACTAAATTGTGGTGGTACTTAGGGCATTGAAAGTAATATACCTTTGGCTTCAAAGCTGTGAGGCTCCAGATGAAACCGTTGTACTGATCCTAGCTTACCCCATGGTAACATCACCAGAAACTTGTCAAAGAGCATTAAAAAGTGTTATCATTTTAGTTCTGCAATCTAGAAATGCCCCATGAGAATATTTTAATCTATTTTCCACCTCTTTCATCTTTTGGTTTACTGTGACCTCCTCCCTGTCTCCCCCTCCCCACCCAAAACTTTTTGTGTCTTCCTTGCCTAAGGTCAACTATTCTGCATATTGTGTTTTTTTTTTCTTTGATTTTGTTCTTGAATGAGCTGTTCTAAAATTTATCCTTTTTATAGATCTTTGTCATTGTTAAGTGTATGAGTTTGCATCTCATTCTGGCTTCCCACCTAGCTCAAATTTGTTGTCTTCAAAAGGCATTTATCTTCAACATCATGATTATGAATTTTTATTTTGCCAAATACCACACCAGGAACTTAAAGCATAAGTTTTCTTCATCCCCCACAATACTTTAGGAGATGGATATTATTATAATCTTCATTTAACAGATGGAGAGGCAGAAGGCCAGATGTACAAACAACTTGCCCAAAGTCAATTGGCTAGAAGTGGGATAGCAAGGATTCAAACTCGTGTTCATCTGAGTCAGGGTTGCTCAACCTTAGCACAGTGATACTTGGGCTTGGGTAGGTTGTAGAGTCTGTCCTGTGCAATGAAGTATGTTAAGCAGCAGCATCTTTGGCTGGTACCCTCTAGAAACCTGTAGCTTTAAACCTCACCTTCTGATTTTAATAACCATAAATGTCCCCAGACTTTGTATGTATCCCCTGCGGGGGAGTATCTGACAAACACTGGTCTAATGCCAAAATTCTTGCTTTGGACACTTTATACCATTAGACAGGGAATGAAAAAAAAAAAAAAACACTGTTTTAAGGCAAAATGTTAAAAAGACCAATTTTAGAAGTCATTATATCTGGCTGATTTGTCAGAATTGGAGATTTTTTTTAAAGATTCGGCTCACCCAAGATGTTGAGAATACACATTGCTAGGTAAGGCACAGGTGTCTATTATAAAAGCCTCTTCATGGTACGATATACGATATGTCAAGATCAATGTAATGTTTTGAACAACTAATAAATTTCTGATGTTTAGAAAAAAAAAAAAAGCCTCTTCATGGCATAGGAACCACAGAGCAAATCCTAGCCTAACCACTCATCTGTTCCTGAACCCACTCCTGCCAAGTTCTCCAGCCTCAGGCTTAACACCTCCTGTGATGGTGTTACTGTCGGCAATTCCATATCCTCACTTCCTGAGACTATTTCATCTTCTTACAGCCCTAACTGTGAAAAAGTATTCTTCTCAATATCTTCCTTACATTTCTCCACCTATACCCATATCATCCAAATTAATCATTCTCAAATCAATCAAGTTAAAGCCTTATTGAGTCTCAATTATGCATTAGGCTCTCCTCCGAACAGTTTCTTTACCATGACCACCTAACCAGTTTTCTCAGTTTAATAATAGACTTCCTCAAAAGGACAACTACAGCTCATTAAAATCTTAAAATCTTCCGAGGTTGGTCTCCTACCCAGCTGCTGCTCTGGGTTTGTGGAAGGCCTTGACCCTGGGGAAGCTGAGTTGCAGCAGTGTTTCCTCTTCCTCTTTTTTTTTAATATTTATTTTTTAGTTTTAGGTGGACACAATATCATTATTTTACATTTATGTGGTGCTGAGGATTGAACCCAGTGCCTCATGCATGAGGGCCAAGCACTCTACCACTGAGCCACAACCCCAGCCGCTCCTCTTCCTCTTGACCCCTCACCCAGCAATCCTCTTTAGACCTCCTTTGGTAGTTTCAGGAAGATTCCAAAGTGACTCCTCTCATTCTCATTCTCAAAGTGACTCATCTTTTACCATGTGCTCTAGATTTCTTGATGAAAATACAGAGGAGAAGGTCATTTTGTTGTTGTTGTTGCTTTTTAGGTGGGCCACCTTGAGAATATCATTATTTATTTGATTAATATAAATAAATAGAAGTTAATTTGCTTGGTACCTCAGAATTCAGACTCTTCTTTAAAGTTAGGCAGTTTTTTCAATCTGCACTTTTGATTTTCTTCTACGTTACCATAGTAATGATGAACTTAAAGAAACCTGCTTCTCAAAAATGTTGGATAACTGGAAGATTGTGGTAGAGCACATACCAGGATCTCCAAGGCACCTTAGGCTCCAGCATCAAAGGTTAGCCTGCAGGTGATCAATCTCACCAGCCAGTCACCATGAGCAGCTAGTGAGCTATAAATGTGTGCCAGCTGTCCTGACAGTGCCTGGACGGATCTGCAGTAAGCAGGTTATGTTTAGAGAAAACCAAGGAGAAAATAACATGTTAACCAGAATAAACTGTTTGGGGTCAAAATAGCAGTCTGGTGTTTTTGTTCTTGTGTGAGATATAAAAAGAAAACTTGGGTTTCAATCAGGCTTAGTATGAACTTCCAAACATCTTGCCTGTGCTTGTGTACGTGCAAGGACGTGGCTGGACAGAGGCAAAGCTGTTCTGAACTCCAGTGTCTGGGACTGCTCTGGAAAGCCTTGGAGTCTTCAATGTAGTTTCACTCTCTTCTTGTAGAGCTTCCTAAATGGACACTGACATGGACTACGAAAGACCCAACGTGGAAACCATCAAGTGTGTGGTGGTGGGCGACAATGCCGTGGGGAAGACGCGCCTGATCTGTGCCAGAGCGTGTAATACCACGCTCACGCAGTATCAGCTGCTGGCCACCCACGTGCCTACCGTGTGGGCCATTGACCAGTACCGTGTCTGCCAGGAGGTAAGGTGCACGGTGTCTTTAGGATCCTTAGGCCATCGTGGCTGTTTGCCAGTCAGATTAAAACTAGTGGAGGAGGGTGGGTAAACTGCACATTCAAAACAAAACTAACTTTTTAGTGCCACAAGAGAGAACAGAAGCAAAGGGCACACTTGGGAGTATGGCCATGGTGACCTGAATGGGGGGGTGAGTCATGTGATTCTAGGACTTGAGTTAGGAGCTGGCTTAAGTCCCAGTAGATGAAATAAGGAAATGAAATGCAAGTGGGTTTAGGGGCCCTGAGAAGTGTCAACTTGGACTCCCTCCTCTGGGGGAGTGTGTGATTAACACTGAGCACATGGACTCTGTCTCTCTTTCCTGCAGGTCTTGGAACGTTCCCGAGATGTTGTTGACGAAGTGAGCGTTTCTCTCAGGCTTTGGGATACTTTTGGTGATCATCACAAGGACAGGCGATTTGCATATGGCAGGTAAAACAAGACTAGTGCAGTGTGGTTGAGCTTGAGTAAAATTACCTTTTGAGACCCGGTAGCTGGTTCACATGTTAACAAAAACCACATCATAATGGCCTTTTGAAATATCTTGGGTTCTTTACTTGTGCTGAAGAAGTGGGGAAAATGGCATTTTTTTTTTTTCTGATATCAAGAAAAACAGAATTTGCTTTGCCACTAGGAAATTCCAGGTTAAAACAACCTGGGCTAGTTGGCCTGGAAGGTTTACTAGATGAGGATTCTGGCTTATCCTCCAGCCTTGAGCTACTTTGATGGCTGTTTTTCTGAGTGACACTTCATTTGATGTCTGTGAAAGTGTTTCAAGCTATTTTAGCACTTGGCTACTCTACTTGAGAAGGTCTCTGTGGTCTTTTCATGACCATATTAGCAGAGTCTGATGTTATTTGCTTTGGGCTTTGTGTTATCTGAAAAGTCTCTTTATTTTTATTTGAAGGTCATTTTTTAAAAGAAAGGAAAATATCTCTGAAGTCCTTCACAAGGCATGTTTCCAAAATGAACCGAAACACTAATGTCTATTTTTCTTTTAAAAAAAAAATGGAGAAGGAAAAATCCAGTAAAGGAAAGATTAATCTAGGACACTGACATGGGTAGGAACATAGTCAAAATGCCTTAAAATATTTAGCAATTTCTGTCTGTTACCATAACTTGAAATATCTCTCTGTGGATGGATCATAGCTATTAAAATGCAGATAAGGTAGAGATTTTTTTGTTTTTTACTCCTTAATTATGAAAAAAACAAACAAACAGGGGTGGGGCTGGTACTGAAGATGGAACCCAGGGCCTTGCACATGCCAGACAGGTACTCTTATCACTGAGCTACATCCCCAGCCCTCCTTAATTGTAAATCAACACATTGCATTTTAAGCTTAGAATTTAGGTGTCACATCTTAGTTGTCTCTTCTTAACATCAAACACCATGTTACGTCACAGAATTCCAAGCATGTGTATTGCACCTTGGTGATGACATAAACCTTTGGAAAAGTTTCTCTATTTCTTCAATCCAGTAGCTCTCTGAAAAAAAAAAAAATTATTGGTTTTTTTTTTTCAAAGTGGCCTAAAATACTGAGTAAAAGGGATTGCCCTATTCCTGAGAATTAACTCACACACTGAAAAAAACCAGTGATTTAGAAAAGTTTATTCAAGGGGACTCCGAATGGGACATGTGGAAGTAAAACATGGTTTTAATGACCCCTTTATAATAAGGATTTTTAACCTTAATATCCAGCATGATAGATCCTTTTCTTCTCTTCGAATGTTCTGTTTGGTTTTTTTTCTTTCTTTCCTTATTCTCATAATGTTCTTGATGGTTATCTTAGTTGACAGTTCAGGTTTTTATTTTCCTGCATATAAAAAAAATAAAATAAATGAAGCTGCTTATAAATATTGTGTGGTCAGGTTTGTCATATCTGCAGTTCTAAGGAAGCATGATTTTAAAATGATGTCTTTAAGCAAAGTAAGGATAAGTAAGGTAGATGTCTAAGGATTTTTGGTAACTCCATTTCTATAAAGGTGTCATGCAAAGATTGGCCTGAAGATGAGCCGACTGGGATATTTAGACTCTTAGCAATCATTTCAACAGATCAGGGTTGATAGCCACTTGAAATTTATGCACTCGAAACAATGAATTTCAGTGTGGCCTTGTCGTGTAAAATTTGTTTTGTGATGGAAGGGCTGCTCCACTTCCCGTGAGACTCCAGCTTAGGATTTGTTTAATGGTGCTCTGGCCCTCACAGCTCTACACTGGGCCCCGTCCAGCTCCTGGACATAGCCGGAGTCATTTTACAGCCTGTCATGCCTGTGTGTCTTCACTCCCAGTGAAAACAAGCTGCTCTTTCCTGTGGCTCCATCAGTTCAAAGTACATTGTTCTGCTCCCTTGTCTGTAATGTTTGGTTCCATTAACTGTAACCCATTCCCTTTTTGATAGAAACAGGAAGTACTCCTGGAGCCAAGTCTGCTTCTCCAAGTGGCCCAGAGGGGCTTCAGGAAACATCCCCATGTGTGTTTCTGGCCACGTTCTACTTGGGGCCTCATTTTGTGTGCTTGTTTGTACCTTGTATTTCCTCTGTCCTTGCTGACTCTCTACTGCCTCTAGGTGTCCTGCCATAGACCCCAGTCCTAGTAAAGAACAAAAGCCAGAGCTCCACTGTCAGACTCCATCATCTTTCTGTACATTCTAAATAGGTAATACCACATTAATGTAGCACCCAGAGGTTACATTTTATGGAAAAATCTGGTAGCATAAGTTTCTTTTATTCAGTATAGAACTTTGACCAGTTCTTTTGATTGCTGTGAGAGAGCTGATGTTGGATTTGCAAACCTGTCTTTGGACTAACGTTTTTTACTCTACTTGGTTTGAATTACAAGTCAATGGGATGAGCAGCAGACATAAATTTGGAGGCATGTATGTGGAATATATTCCAAGATATTTAGAACCTTTTTAAAATAAATTAGATTCTTGTGGTCACAGTGAGGGAAACCAGATTCATCCCGTGATGCCCCAGGCCTTGCCCTCAGTTTCCTCTGCTTCTTAGTTTAAAGGAAATTCGCTTGTTGCCCTTCATACATTCTTTGGCATAGACAAGTTCTGGTTTTCTGAGTGGTCAAGGGGTGTCAGTAGCAGGCAGTCTGCCAACCTGAATTTACAGTTTTCCAAGTCTGAAAACTGGCTAACTGTAACCAGAATATCATTGCTATCTTCTTTATTTAAAGGCAACTATTCAACTCATTTTTTAAGCCAATTAAAATAATAGCTCCAATTTATCGAAAGCCTGCAATGTGCCAGCCAACATATTAGGAGCTTTGCCAACATTAGTTTAGGTATTCCTTTCAGGAGATCTAGGAGGCAGAGATTATCTCCATGCTACAAAGAAGCAAAGGGTTGAGACCTTTCACTGATGTAACCTAACCAGTGATGAGTCTCAGAGGCAGATTTACACCCCGCCCTTGCTGACTCCCACCTCTTTTCACTGTGCCAAGCTACCTTGTACCTTCAAGAGGATGAAGCTGGAAACTATGCCACGTTGGGAATCTGGGTTTCCGTTGGCTCTTCCATATTGGTGCAGAGCCTTAGAACTGGAGGAGACCCCAGAAGCCCATTTAGTTGCCCCTTTTCCTTGAGGAAGGGAAGCTGTCCATCCAGCTGAGAACTAGCACTGAAGAGAGTCCTTCCGTTGAAGGGAGGAGGAAGTCAGCAGGGGAGCATCAGCACCCTGACTCCTCACAGATCCGAAATCTGGCAGGCCCTCTCTTCTTAGGAACTCTCTTGTAACCTTTCTTCCTACCACCCACTTTCTATCCACTTTCAGATGAACTTTTGAAGTTCTTTTCTGGATCTTTTGAAATGTCAAGAACAAGACTGAACATAGTAACCATGACCGTGATCAACCGCTCTTTGTTGACAAAGAAGGGGCCTCTTCTTAAAGAAATATCTCTCAAATGTTTTCCCTGGAACTCTTCTAAGAATGAAAGGTTCACATTTTGGTACCTGGCACCAAAAAGATAGAAACACAGGGTGGGCTCAGCCTCCAGCAGGACATCTGGGCTGCTCAGACACTCTCTTTTAGTCATACCAGATATAAATAATTATGGGTTGGTTTGTTTGTTTGTTGGTTGTTTGTTTGTTTTCTGTCTCCTCTCTTTGAAAACCTCCGACCCTGATCTGTGTCAGGGCCAGATAACCTTCAGACACTTAATAAAGCTGATGGTGCTGAAGTTGATAACTAAAATTTAATCAAGGAACCCCATGAGTCAGATCTGTGCCAGGCGATCACTCTACATATCCTGTCCCACTTCGATCTCATTGTGACCCTGCAAAGTGGGCTTATTTCACAGTTGAGGAAACAGGTACAGAAAGCACCACAAGGAAAGAATGGAGCTGAACTTTCCACTTGGGTCTGACTCCAAAGCCTACCTACCATGCTGTGTGGATGATGAGACTGACAGATGACAAGTTTACTTTAAATTTCCTCCTGGTACAGTCTAAGTCTTCTGTCCTATGTGGACCCTGAAAGACCTGCATTCACCATCTCTCATCCAGTATGTCTCTTAAATTTTTTAAGTATGGCAAATAACCCAATTCTTTACATGCATTCATAAGTGGCTAAATATCAGTCCTTTCACTTTCAGTAAAGATGATACATCAAAGCAAACTTTTCCAGAGTGAGTTGGAATCTTGGGTCATTTTTTTTGGCATGTTTCCCCCAAAACATTTAACTTAAAGATTCAGAACCAATTTACTTGCCCTTACCCCCCCATAGTTTTCCGGCATATTTTAAGTCTGGCTGGAACCCATTTATTATATAGTTTATCTTACACTGATTTTTCTCAACTGTTGTAAGCTCCTATGAGAAGTGCAGTACATGTTTCAAATGATGACATTATAATCAGCACTGTGATTTCTGTGTGTCTGTTTAGATAAGATGGGTTTGGTTTCATGTTGAAGGCCCATGTAATCAGATAGGGTATGAACACACCCCATTTTGAATGCTTAGTTGAGAACCTTTAAAAAAATTGAAGTGTTTAATGCATCTAGAGTATTTCAAGTTAGCTGTTATTGCCCATAACACATTCTAAATGCTGGGCCAGAAGTAATCCAGATTATTCTAATGATTATTTCAGGAAATATATCAAGTGGAAGTGGACCAGGGCCAGGACTAGGTAAGGCCAATGAGTCTCTCACCACAGGCTTAAAAATGTAAATAATAATAATTTTAAAAAACAGGATCATTATTAGTATTTGTTTTTTCCCTTTTGCCTCGGGCTCCATATGGTAATGTTTCTTAACTTGACTTTATCTATAATGTTGATACGTTTTGAATTGTGGCTTTTTTGTCATGATTTTTATGTTTTAAAAATAGTATTCACCTGAATTACTGAGCTTTTCTTGTATTTGCACCTGAGGCAAGTGTTTTGCCTTTGTCCCCCAGTCATGGTCCTGATGCTGGGCTTTATAATTGGA